TAAAGGATTCTGTTCTTTTTTGTTGTTGTTTTTACTGCATTCATCATCACTATATGAGCTTTCTGTTTTGTTTCCCAGAGGCTTGGTTTTCCAGAAATGAGTCATGAAAAAGGTATTATTCAGTGGTCAGGAACAAGAAACACTCCATTTTGTGTTCCTTCTATTACTGAACTACAGAAATATTAATTGTAAAAGTGAAAAATTGAATTCTTTCTCTCATTTAAGTTTTTAAAGCTTAATGGACCTTAATTTGATGCCTATTATCAAGAATTGATGAAGTGGTTAAAACATTGTATGTTGAAATGATGTGTTCTTAAAATTCTAATTTCTACAATTTGTCTCTGGTGTAATGATGCTTGGCAGCTGAGTATTCAAATTGAAGTAAAAAGAATAGGAACTGTACCAACAGCTGATTGTTACACACAAAAATGACTTGGGATTCCTCCTGAGCAACCTGACAGCCCTTTCAGTTCATTCATTTGAAGAGGTTTGGAGATGCTTCTTTGGAGTACAGAAGTAAAAGGCAAAAAACACCAAAACCAACCCTACAACAAACCTAACAAACAATAACACCCCAAACCCCACGAGGTTGCTCTAGAGAAGATAATTCTTTTCTGGGGAACAAGTTTTAGAAAACCTTGTTCTTTTAAAAGGCAAAGTTACTTCTTAGAGCCCCCATCTAAGAAAACTGTAGAGAACTTGCAGCTTCACAGAAAAAGAGAGGCTGTATTACATTTGCATGATACTGTGACTCCAGTGTTTTGTCCTTGCTGTCTTCTGGCAGATTGGTCTGCATAAGTTACCTCTCATCTGCATAACAGGAAGGCTCAAATGGACACTTCAAAGTTCCCATGGGTGTCACATTTACAGCAGGTGGAAGGATGAATGGTACACGGGAAATGTGTTTGTTTTATAATGTTTGGAACATAATGGTAGGATTGGCCTGAACTCATGAAAATATCTAGAGTAGCTTAAAAAGTACAAAGATGCCAGTGCACAAAGCAGTGCAATAAAACAGACTCAGATCTATAAAATCCATCCAAACTAAGAACCAAAAGCTAAAAATGTGAGAAGGCATTTCTTGTTGTTATTACATTACTTGGTCAAAGGAACATGCATATCCCAGCAGGAAGGCAGCGACAAGAAGTTAATAGTAATTAGCATCTGTATATTTCTATTTCTTAAGAACAGTTACGTATGTAGAAATCATGTGTTGGAATTATACATCAGTGTCACTAAACATCCTTCTTATCTTTCTTTCTTTTTAGCTTTCTAAACCTTCTATATTACACCTGAGCAGGCATTACTCTACGTACACAGCAGGCATTATTCTACTTAAACAACAAGCATACTTTTCATAAATTGCATGGCCATGGAGGGTTGGAATATGTTCTCAAATTCTCATAGAATAAGTTGTCAAATTGTCATCACTTCAATCATACATAGAGAAGAGAAACTACTGGAGAAACTAAAATAGTGAGTTTATCATCTTGAAAAGTTGGGTGTGATGACTGGGTCTGAACATTAAGAACCAACACATTCTTACCTGCAATGTAAGAGTACTGTACTAGGTCACAGATTAAAATAAAATCACTTTACTATGCTGCATTCTAAGAAGTGCAGCTAGAATATTACATTCAGGAGACACCGTGTTATTTTGACTCTGTAGCATCAGCCCCTGGTACAATTTGTTGCTCCACATTTTTGGGGAATGAAAGAAAGCAAAATGACAAAATGACCATCACAAAGCAGCTGAATGGCAACATCACCAAAATAAAATTATTGATATAGGATATGAAAGTAATGAACAATATGAAATAATTAATAATAATAATTATACAGTTAATAATAATTAAACAGTTTTCCAGAAATAGTCATTTAACATTGATTTAAGTGTTGCATTTTCTAACAGTAGTTAAGAATGATTTTTTGGAAGCACACGTAATGTTACATGGAATACTTAAGTACTGTGGGTATTTAAAAACTATTTTTTGAATTACGCATATTCTAAAGCTTTTGCTGAACACCTTTGTCAATACATATGTATGTATTAAGTTCCTGTAAAATGTTCTTCTCCCATCTTAATTACTGAGAATCATTCTGAAATTTGTTTCTGTCTAGAATGCTGAACACATAAAGGATATTAGAGCACAGTTGTGATTGACTCACATTCACTCTGAAGCTGGTCAAAATACATGTCTGATTTCCTATTGTTGGCTATGTGGTTTGAATGCTCAGAGTGGCCATACCTGCATACATTATTCCATGCATTAGAATGTTTGTATTTTTTCTGTCCAGAATGACACAGAACGCTTTAGTGTTGTAACAGATGAGATACCAGTGAAAACTTAAGAGCAGGGTTTCCAGTGTAGCACTGCAATTGCTGTGTAAAGCCATTGTTTACAGACTGACTGTCCTGTTCTGCTCTGGTTCCTTGATTGTAGCACGAAATACTGCATCTATTTTCCCATATTGAAAGCAATGGAAAGACAGAAACTTTTCCTGTACAAGTACAGATGGTCGTTTGCTCTTTATTACATCACAGAATTATAGTGCAGTAACTGTCATAATTATAGTATGGAAACTCTTGATATAAGCTGGCATTTAAGTAGAAAATGATTGTAAATTTTACAGATGCTCTGTCCAGTGTGAGCCTTGCAAACAGTTCTACATTTCAATGGGTTACATACATTCTAAGTATTCCCGAGCACTACCATCTTCCAAACAATTCAGCTGATTCTGTAGGACAGCGAGAATCATCAAGCATCTAGTCACTCTTTTAATTGCATCATCTCTTATGTACACTACTGAAAATGCCCTATAAACCCAGTTCCTGTGTATTCTGCAACTCTTTGAATTCTCTCTCTTCCTTTTTTTTTAAATTTTTTTTTTTGAAGTCTAATTAGGATTGCATCTTGCATGGAAGATCAGGACATTTGTTCAGAAGCAGGAAGTGAGGTACTTTGCTGTTCCATTACATAATTTTCATTGATTACTTAATTGTCAGAAAACTTCTCCCCCTTCTCCCACCCAATGAGCCAACCAGGCCTGATATAGAAAGTTTCTCCATGTACACTGCCTTCAGTGGAAGCTGATGTTGATTTCTGCCTTAGCTTACAAATCTAAGAAGTATCAAAAATGTTGAAACTGGATTTCAGTGAACGAAAGTGAAGAGTTTTCAGTGTGATAGCAGTTTGCAAGAAAGAATGCAACAGAGTTGTCAAATAAAATAAAGAAGACTTCTTTCATTTCCACTGGAAGCAGAAAACAGCAAGATGAAAGGGGAATGTAAGACCTGAGGTGGAGAGACTAATGACAATCATTTACCAGATGAGCTTTAGCTCCAGTCTGTAAGTCACAAGACTGTTTTACATCTGAAATCTCCAGTTTCTACAATAACGTACTTGCTGAATGTACTTCTAGTCTAGCTTTGTATCTTTTGCATATGATGTATCAGTTTTTACCTGTTAACTTATTAGACAAATAAGGTCTCATATCTTATTCATTATTTTGTTATTTATTATTTGTATACCATTATTTTATAGTTAAAATTGTAGGGTAAAAATGCATTGCTTAAAGCAGTCAAACTGGAATGAACTAACTCAATTTACTGAACGTAGACAAACTGGAGCGCATCAAAAATGCTGAGCCTCACCTTCTGAGACATTTAGGGAGCACAGTTACTGCAGGTATCCTGCAAAGCCTTGGGAAGCTGTGAAAGCCTGAGTGCTGCAGAGATCTAAGACTTCCCATTAAGTCAACAATGTCTGGGACAGACCTGTGACTACAGCCAAGGAGCGAAGTAGCACACATAGCAGATATTACGTTCAGGATTTTTGTTTATATGTCTCATCAGAAGTCAGAGTGGTTCGTTTTCAGAAAGAGGAGAATACATTTTTTCTACTTTGTCAAATCTCAGACAGATTTACAGGGCAAGCAATAGTTTTAATACACACTTTTGGTGGGACAGACTGCACTATGTGGAGGAATAAAAGAAAGGTCTAGTGTGAAACTAAATTTTATGCTACAGTGAGTTACAATGCAGTAAGAAACAGTAAGTTCTGATTTGGCCAGGTAGACTAAGCATACAGGATTTCTTCACTATTCCTCAGCATCTCAGCAGGTAAGCATTAATTATATTTGTTTTGCTGAAGATTTAATTCTGCAAGCTGTTCAGCCCTTTAAAGTGTTATAAATTGACTTGGGAATTCTTAGCACTTGCAATAGTTGTAAGTAAATTTATGAAATTAGAAAAATTTAACCCTGTGACAAAACAAAAATTTTTGTTATGCAAAGCTTTTTTGTTTTAAATGGGTATGGATGACTAAAGGAGGAGGTCCATCCATTGCCTCTTTCTGGATCCCAGATTATTGTCATGGCTTGGAAAAAATGCCTTAGTTTTTCCTTTAGCAAATACAAACCTCTGAATTGTGTATTTGGCAAGTGATTGCTTCATGGCTAGACAAAGTTATATTTATCCATAATTAAGGTACATGAAAAAAACTTTTCAAAATGATCCACAACAATATGTTCTAGCATTGGATTTTCATGAGGAATCAGATCTTAAATTAACATTTAGGATAGAAAAAAATAAAACTGTTTCCACTTCGTTCTTAATTTGCCTTTCCACGTAAAGATATAATTTTGTTGGGGTTCCCCTGGGAAAATGCTATCTATAAACCTTCCAGGAAAAACCGTTAAGCCTGATCAGGAAAGAAGTCACAAGGGCTGGGAAAATATGACATCTACATTTGGTTTTGTTGTGCAGGCCGTGTACATTTCCTCTAGCACTACAAAACATTACCATATGATATGGTTGCATTTTCCAGCAAGTGTTGCCACTAACTTGGACTTGTGGCTTTGTAGTATGATTTAAACATTGCTCAAAAATACAGTATTTCCAGAAACACAAATAAGCCAATGCTTAACTGTCACAAATGTTCTTCATTTCCATATCTGTAACATATAAAGCATTTATTGAAAAGAGTGGGATTGCTTACCTCAAAAATATAATCTTTTCCATCCTTTCCATGTACAGCTTTAACAGCACAGATGTCCAAACCACCAAATATTTCAGAACAGGTGTCAACCCAAAGCTTGTACCTGTTTTATAAAACAATTTTTTTTCTGTAAGTATCTTATTAGGCTCTTGTTTTTCTATAGCCTTAATCTAAATCTGCATTTTATATAAAGTTTGCTTAAAACACAGACTTTTCACTCAGTCTTTTGTCAGCTTTATTGAATTTGTATTTCCTAGAATAGCAGCTTAGAGATCCTGGACCGATTACTCTCCTTTTCCAAGTAGAATCCATAAAAACTGTGATTCTCTATCTTGACCTAACATTACACTGGCTGCTGTCCCAGCTCATATTAGCCCAAATATGTGTCTGCTCTAAACTGTGAGTGACCTTGTGATAAGATATGCTGGAACACAAACATTATTTCAGGGTACCTCATTCTGCACTTCCACTGCCACTATGCTAGTACAGCTTGCTAGTTGTGACTGTACACTATGTGGGAACCCACAGAGGTGTATCTTACCAGTTTCTGTAGTTACAGTGGTGCCAGAGAATTTTATAAGGCAGGGAATGGGGCTTCTGTCGCCCTGTGAAATTCAAACTGGCACATCTGTGACAGATGCAAGTGTGACCATCCTCCCGCCTGTCAGTCTTGGTAGTGTACTTAATTATGGATGAGTTTTATCCTTGTATCAGGGAAACTAGGATGAGAGTCTGTCTTAAATTACTGACCAAACTGTATTCCAAATTAGCAACTTTTCTATATACTGAACAAGGCAAAAGAAAAATCAAGAAACAGCAGGCCTTAAGACAATTGAAGATGAACAGCCACAGGGCACTATGCAAAAGTTATGCAGCATGCAGACAAACGTAACATCTTCATGTAGGGTTACAGACAATTACAGGAAAATTCAAAAGAAATTTAGAAAATTTTGAAGAATGGTTACAAATCTAACAAAAAATACAGTAATTCATACAGGACTGAACTCCTGCACTGCATTTTTATCCTCGTGGTAAGAAATCTGGTCTGATAAATGGAAAGTGAACCCATTCTACATGCAGTAATGTGATTTATTTTTCTTGCTTAAGGAGCTTAATTCATTCTATGAAGAGAGGAATTATCTGACTAAAAAAGGAATGAAGGGGGACTTACTAGAAAAGGAGTGAGGCAATTCCTGATCAAGTACAGAACAGTCAGTAGCACATATGGGGAGCCATAATACTTTGTTGAGGGTGTTCAGAGGTGATTTAGTTGTGTATGTTTGTTAAATGGCAAGGGTTGACTGGCAGGACACAAAGTAGCATTGAGAACTTTAATTAACTAATAACAGAGCTGTGTCTGGGTATCACCAAGTGATGATATGGTCTTAAAAGTTTATACAGGCAGGTATCACCATTCCACCAATTGAAGAACAAAACAAAAAAACCAAACCAAAACAAACAAACAAAAAAGTAGTTTTAAAACAGTCATTTATCATAGACTTTTTTTTTCATTGGCTAGTATGAAGAAGGGCTGTTTCCTTTTATAGACCCTCCCCTGATCCAGCCTTTAAGCCATGATGATAAATATGCCACATCATATTATTTTCCACTGGAAGAAAAAAAAAAAAAGATGTTATAAACATAGCATTTGACTTCATTGTAGGATGAAAAGAAACTCATTGCTGGGCTGTGAGTCTTAGTCATAAAAATATCCTTAGTAATGATCCCCTTTCCAAGTAAACTTATTAGATCACACTCTCCATATTTTCTGTTCTCATGGGAAAAAAAAATCTTTTAAGCAGAATAAAAAGAAATCAATACAACTGTTTGAAAAAAATCCTGGTGGTAATATTTGAGCAAAGATTTTTTTTCCTGTGAGAAAAATGTTTTGTCCAAAATGAGAAGTTGTTTTGGAGTCCTGACAATTTCAGCATCTGTAGATGCACTGATTGGCTGGACTGCTTGCACACATTTGCTTATAAACAACCTTTGTTTCTGCTCTAAAATATCACCACATATCTTAGCAAGCCACGAGGACAGTAAAATTTGCCTTTAATAGCAAATAATTGAAGTTTCTATGAAAAAAAAGGAAGACGTTTTCTTTAAGAAACTGAAAAATTAATCAGATTTAAATAAGAACATCTTCAGTAGTCAATCTCCTTCCAACAAACACAGCTGGAGAAACTGCATTTGGAAAGAGGCCTTGAGTAGACTACCCTGGAGTTTTAAACGCAAGACTTGCACAGCAGGTTTGACCAGAGGCCATGGTCCTTATCTTCTCAGAATCAATGTAGCATGCAGTGTCCTCTGAACTGGCAGATGACAAAGTACTTGTGAGGTGTGCACAACTACAGTAAGTCTGTATTCTTCTGGCCCAACTGGGGAGCAGTTCCTCTCTGAAATGAAGGGCTCAGTAAGAATATATAACACTGAAATTTGCTCGTTCTCTGCCTCATCATCATCCCTTACTGCTCCACATTCCTCTTCACTAAATTTCTAGACTAACATTTGTGTTCAGTCAGCAATGTTGACTCAGGCAGCGCTTTCAAAATACTTCTTTCTAAATCATGAGATGTATTTTAAATGCCTTGAAGTGCACATGCATCAGATTTGATTGCTTTTGGTGTGCCTCTAAAGTACTTCAGCTCTTCAGAAAACTTCAATTTGCTTTTACTTCCTTTTTTTGCTTTGTATGTAATCAGACTAAAATTATGGCATAGCCTCGCTGTTACGAGAACACATCCCTCTTTTCTATGCTTTTGTCTTCATCAGCATAAAAGTTCTGGTTTGTTGCTAGTGTTTTTTAAAGTGAATATACAGATATGATTTAATTATGTTACATTCAAACGTGGAAGCAGAACCAAAGCAGCACAGAGCATTTACAGTGAAGTGGCTATGCATTTTGTACTCATTGCCCATACTTGATACTATTTAGTTTTCCTTATGGCCAGATTAAAGTGCTGGTTTTTTCACAGAGAAGTAGTTCATGAACTGTAATTACGCAGAGTAAAGCACACTCTTTCTCTCTCAGTGAAGGCATAACCTCACAGTCTAAAGCAAAGTGGGAGGGGAATGAGAATGAGAAAATAATGTGGCTCCACTCCATCCCCAGAGGGGACATCAGTGAGGACACAGTCTAGACTGGGGTTGGACAGCAGGGAGTTGTAATTCCTGTCTTATTTGTTTTCACCTTTCTTAGGGCAGGCAATGGTTCAGTTCCGTTTCTCTCAGCTACAAGTAATTGTAGGGCCAGATTTAAAAAAAAAAACAACTACAAAAAACCGACACAAAACCAACCAACCAAACAACAGAAAAAGACTGTTGTTGAACTGTGAAGCACCATTTAGATTACACTTCTACTGCACAGAGTTTTCAACATTTGTACATGTATTGACTGACTGGAGTAAATTTAGGGAAAATAAAGCTGTAATGTGAAAGAGCAACCTTTGCAGAAGGTGAACAAAATAAAATTCATAGCCATAAAAAGCACTACAGCTTTTCTCTGCATGTAAAAGAGGCCTATATTTTGTGACTGGAGAAAATGAGCAGCATTGAGCAGTAGCAGAGTGAGGCTTCAAAATATACTGCAGACTGATGTACTGAATTGCTAAGAGATAACCAGAGCAAGGATGGGAGAGAAAAGCACAATAAAACAAAGTACAGAGCAGGAATGATGACACGAGGAGAAAAAAGCTTTGTTATATTTCAGCATCTGGGCAGAAAGACTCACAGTGCAGTTGACCAGAAGATTCAATAATGACAAATAAGCAATTTAGTGGAAAAGAGAAATACAATTTAAATAGGCAAAGTTAAGAAAAAAACACTTTGTTGCATTACGTGACATAGGAGAAAAAGTTTAAACACTGTGACATGGAGTAAAGTAAAAGAGGTCAAATGAACCAGAGGAAATGACTGGTAGGTTGAACCTGAAAATGGCATACTGTGAAGGGAATTCCAGTAGCTTTCTAGCTGCAGATATATATTTAGGAGCTCAAGGGTGCCTGCAAACATGTAAGCCTGATAGTTAGCTTGATTACTTAGCTGAGACAATTCATAGGGAAACACTTCTCTCGTGTTTTTTCATCTAGTTCCAAGTTTGTTTTTTTTTTTCAAAATGAACAGAGGGCCTTCATTTACTGTAAACTGCACACCAATGTGATTTAAAAAAAAAAAGACTTAAAATTCTTTTGTTTTTTTGATTACCTTTTACATGAGACTTCACTTACTTATCTGACATAGCAATTTGTTCCAACATTGCAGAGCCTGTGTTTGTCTTCCAGTTTCCAGATATGGAAGTCCTCCTGAAAGGGGAAAAACATTCAAAGAGAGCCACTAGTTTCATATTTGTCCTACCTCCTAAATTATTCTGATTTTCACATGGATACTAAGGCAGCATCAACATATTGTTTTGTATTTGGCAGCTTACAATATAATATCTAAAACATGATGAATTTTAACAGGCTTCACAATGTTATGATGCATGACAGTGAAATTTTTGTTCCCCATTAGTTTGCTTAAGAGAAATTTTAAAACTACTATGATTAAGTGCAAGTGTTAACAGTAAGATTTTATCGGTTAGAAATTGATTGAATAACCTGTAACATACCAATAATACAAATGGCAAGGAACTGAAGCTTCAGCTTCTCATTTCAGATCCATACCACTGCACATTTAGGTCCCAATACTTGAAAGTCAAGATGTCCATTTGGAACATCTCCAATCTGTTACAGAGCTTCATTTTGGTTTCTCCTCCAGTTTTCACTCCTTGCTAGTTTGTGAATATAATCTAAACATCTTATTTCAAGCATACCATTTTTTATTTTATCAGTAAGAAATAAAAAATATATATTTTTCTCCTCCTCGGACACCAGGTTGGTTAGCAGGTGTGAGAAGATTACTCTTTTCTGAAACCTAAACAATGTTTTGAGAATAGGCTTAGAATACAAATCATGAAGTGTTTCTACTTAGAAGTGTAATAGGAATATCTGTAATACATTAAAAGTTTACTAGGCAGCAGCAATAGTTTTCTCTCAATTTTTATTGATCTAATTACAAGGGTCAGCAGCAAATGTGGGGGAGCGCCAACCTTTCCGTGGAAGTCTCATAAAATTAACTGAATTTTAAAGCATACAGTTCTAACATGCCTTATTTTTTTTTGCTATGAGAGAATAACGAAAAGGGAAGATCCACATTCAGTGCTGTATGTAAGGTAACTTCTATCAGTAATAAGGCTTTAAGTGATATTTATATGTGTGTGTACTTACAGAACAGTTAAGATGTTTAAGTTCACTATTACTCCACATACAGTCTACAGATTTTACTTCTTAGATATCATGACTGAACTCTGTTGCAGACTTCTCCAAAGGCATTCCTTAGCATGTACAATTTAAGGTGTCTTTTAGGAAGCAAAATTTAGAAAAAAAATCCTGAAGATTTCTAGCAAGAAGTTAGTTGATGATGCTCAGCTGCACTGAGGTAATCTTAGCACTGTTAAGTAGAGAAGATCATAGAATCAGAGAATAGTTTGGGTTGGAAGGGACCTTTAAGGTCATGTAGTTCCAACCGACTGCTCCAGGCAGGGACACCTCCTTCCAAACCAGGTTGCTCACAGCCCCATCCACATCAATTCCTCCTTTTTCACTGAATTCCAAATAATAAAGGAACCAACTCCAAATATAATTGAATGCTTTGGACTTAGGACTTGCATGCTTTTGCTTGATTTGGTGTTTGTAAACATGAAGAAAAACTGTTTTAAAGTTGGGGAAAAGAGGAATTACGATTGCTATGTATCATGACTTGACCTTTCTCTTTTCCAGCAGCAATCTGCTTTGTTTAGTACTATCTGAAGCATGCATTCCAAATTGTCTGGACAAGTATTGTCACAAAATAAGTAGAAAGATCTAACAACAATTCTTGTGTAGGTAGTCTATTTAGCAGCTTGTTACTACAGCATTGTTGTTCTTCAGCTGCTATGCTCTACTTTTTTTTTTATTGAAGTTATGGTCAAAGTACATTGTTGTGCATTCAGTTTATTACATTTGGAAAAGAGATTTAAAGTTAGTATTTTTGTATTTGTGTTTTTCTTCGTTCTATTTGAGCCTTTAAACTCTTATTTCCTTGAAGTCAGATGAATTCTGTAATGGTACCAGGTGCTGTTAAGCATGCATCACAAAATGTTTTGAGGAGCTGTGGTATTTAGAGAGATCCAGTGTGGCATTTTGGCTATAATCTCTGCTGACAGATGATAAGCACCAGTGTTTTGTGAGTCATGGATCCACTTATACCACAATTTCCCACAGAATTGTAAAAATGAAACTCTTCATAACTCTTAAACTAGAAAAACAATTGTTTGGCTTGTATTTTTTGTGGTTGCTCTCTAAGTACTCTGTTCCTGTGTGAGAGAACAAAATGAGAACCAGCTGTAAAACAATATACTACTGACATAATGCATATGTATGCATATGAAGAATTTTATAGACATTTGGTAAATCTCCTTTCACAATGCTTTGTAAAAATGAATCATTTTTTCATTTCTTGTGATTTAACCATATGAAAGAAAGTAGAGAAAAAATGATGGCCAGGCTTTTAGCATCTGGATGAACCCACAGTTTCTGAGGGAACAGAAGCATAAAAATAAATAAAGTTAGCAGAAACAGGCTGCCATTTTAATTGTTTTTTCTTTTTTCTTTTCTTCTCTGATCCTTAGACCAACTGCTTCTTTTGTGAAGAAGAAACACTCTTGTTAAAAAGTTATAAATTTGCCATGGCCGAATAATACAGTAAGTATTACAGAGACTAAACAGAATTTTAATTTAAGGAAAAAAAAATAGAACTCTTTCCTATTACACGCAGTGGTTCAGGTTCTCCCACAAAGAATGAACTGTCAAATTATTGACACTGCATCTGATTACTGCTACCCAGAGGTGTGTCCCAACCATTAATGGCTGGGCTTTACTGCTAAGACCGGGCCGCTTGGGAACTGTAAGACAAAGATAAATCAACTCTGTGTATTATAAACAACAGAAGAAGTGAAAGATATGTAGTAGAGTACAAGAAATTTGTGCATCAAAGCACCCATGAGAGAGAAAAGCACTGTCCTAGCCTTGAAGAGGCTGAAATGACTGCATGAAAAGGTCCGAGACAGAGAAAGAAGTCTGAGGTAAAGAAAGAAGTCTGAATGGTGACTGGAAGTGGAGGGAGAGCATGGTAGTTAATTGGCACTATTAGCGTAAAAGGGGCAGTGGAGAACCCAAAGCAAGGAACAATGAAGATCAGGGCATAAGAAGTAAGGACTAAGATACAGAAAGGTAGAAGTGGTCTGGGAAGGAGGTGGTACCAGATCAAGGTATGGTTTGGACTCGTTCAGAAGTATTTGGTTTTTATTTTATACAAAAAGGAAAGGATGTGTATTGAGGCAGGACCAACACATTTGAAATTCTGTAGGGACCTTGAGTTCTAGAGATTGACTGCATCACTATTAAAAAAGGGATTTTGGGTCAAGGATTCCAGAAACCACACCATCCTTGCAGTATATTTGAGTGCTTTGGTCACTGTGAACAATTCAAATTTCCAACATTGTTTTTGCAAAATTTAGAAAGTTTTAGGTTCAAAACAAAGCAGAATTGAGTGTCTGTACTGCTGGATGGATCTGACCTACAGGCACACTGTCCTCCCTGTTCTGTGTAGTCTTTTCTTCCACTAAGATGTACATCAAGAGACAGATGCATCATTAAGTTATTCTTGAGAGATTTAATCTTAGATGTTCTTTTACAAATGCCTCTCCAACTTGTATGCCTGGAGAGGCAAGCAGTTGCTCAGAGTTTTGATCTTGTGACAGCAGTGTCATAGGGGAGGAGTCACAGTACATGGATCTCCAAAATCAACCTAAGGGGATGTGTTTTACCCTTCGTCCCCATCCTGGACAGGAGATTCTACATTTCTAATAGGGCTTGTTGCTTGTTTCTAAATTACTTGAGACCTAATGCTAATTCTGTCTTTAATATTAAAAAATATTTCATGCATTTTCTTTAGCCTAACTACAACTTTTGTTTATATTTATGGGTTGCTTGAAATTCAGTTATTTTTACTGATAAAGAACTTGCATGTATCTTGTTTTTCAATTAAAATGTCAACATATAAGAAATCTCTTACCCCTCCAACATTGCAAGATCCCTAGTGATGTATGATTATGCATACACGTGTGCTTTTATGCATGTATGTTTTTATCCAGGTATTTTTTTCCTGCCTCAGAATTGTAAGCATGAGGGAACAAATGCATGAGATGAATTAACTTATCTGAAAAACATGGACGAAATGACTGAATGTCAAATTACACTGATAACTGATAGTTGAAATAGAGTAAAATTATGCATAAAGACAGTCACCATAGATCAATTAATACCTCATAATCTGTTTCGCTGCTCTAAAATTGAAACAACATTTTAGCCTCTCATACAGTCATGATCTCTAAATATATCTCTATAAAACTAGAAAACATTTTTACCCATTTTTATATGGGTCATTGTAAGACAAGAATTTTTCTTATTATTTCATGTTAAAAGGAGAGTACTGCCTCCCATTACAGTTTTATCATTCAAATGGGTGTGAATGAATGCCATCTAAATATAGATGAAATGGAAAAATAATTAAAAGTTGTCAGGAACGCTACTCAGGCAGGCTCACCTGTTATGTTACTCTCCTCCTCCCAATGACAATCAACTTAAAGAAAAAGACGTTGATAATACCATATATCAGGCCATAAAGCCTGACACTCTGTCTTTCTGAAGCGTATGGCAATGAAGGCATGGAGTCACCACATTTCTACTCAGAGACTCATCCAACAGTCTTAAACTTACTGGCGCTTATCGATTTTCAAACAAATGATGAAAAGATAAGTTTTTGGCTCACATGTATGCTTTGTAGTTACTGCCTATCTTTTGGATCCTGATGTCATATTTGGAGTCTATGAACGGTTCAGTAGTGGCGTAGGTCTGAGTAAGTGCTACCACGCTGGCTATGTCCTGAAAATCGTAGTGGTTGTCTACCTTGATCTGTAGTCATCATGCCACAAGTAAACGGCAAATGCAAAAGAAAAAACAGCAATTAGAAATAAAATGTAGACTTCGGTTTCAAATGGCATTAATGAGAAATATGGCTTTTGATAGCATCAGTTCATAGCGGGCATTTCATATTTTATCTGATTTCTAGATTCTGTAACAGTCCCACATTAACATATCTAATTTTCCATGGAAAGTATTACCTGCTCATCCATAGGAAGCAACTTGCAGATAGTAGATTTTTATTTTCAATTTTTTTTTTAATAGTTTTGACTGATAATTTTCAGGTCAGTAGTTTTTAGGAGAATGTTTGAAGTTGTGGTTACACTAATTTTATACAATTGTTCATGATTTTCTAAACTGCTCATGTAACTGCATGTTTGTGGCGCCCACCACGTACTATCACTTCTGTGTCATGTATCTCCCAGGAAGGAGGACATGAATGCTCATGACATTCTGACGAGGGCCAGTTCACATGGAACACAGAAGGTTGGCTCAAGATGATGCAATACTTGTCCCATTTCACTTCTTTGCAAGGAGTCAGGCATTCTAGGAATAGAATTTCCTAGACATAAAACACTGCGATAAATGTGAGCAATATTGATTTAGAGGGAGAGTGAGAAACATACTTCAGATGGGAGACAGAAGTATTACTTTTTGACAGGGAGATCTTATCTCTACAGATGAGTTCAAAGGAAGCTAGCTGAAGTAGGGAAAAAACATAAATCTGAAGAGAAGTCTTAGGGCTGGGAGAAAATAGGAGAGGGAAACTGGAATGCCAATAATTCTTTACCCAAAGTGCATTTCAGGAAGGTGAGGAAAGGGTGCAGGGATTACTTGTATCATACTATCTAATATTAGAAGAGTTTGCAACTTCTTGCAAGCCCAGCATCTCTTTTGCTTCCACTTAAAAGAGGACCTGTAGCCTGGAGTGCCCACAGCTGTGAGATAGGAATTGCATATTGAATGGTGTCCAGTGAAGTGAGGAGTCAGGCCAAATACTGAGGCCAAAAGTCCCAAGTATTTGCTCTCAACTCTTAGATTCAGAATGATACAGAATTTGTCATTTGAGAACCAGCAAAAGAGATACAATTCCTGGTCTCAACTCTGTTTCTGAAAATTGAATATTGTGAGTGAATCTAATTACAAGTGGAAACACTACTCCTAGCATTGCCTTTTGGGAGAACTGGGATACAAGAGGAACCTTTACTTGGGCTCTGATAGTAAGCATTTCACTACAAAAGACTGGCACTCAGTCTTTAAGGACTTAAAATACTTTATAGCTAAAAATAATAATAACCTAGATTTTTATTTGTAGACATTTGATATGCTGGATATTCTTGTCCAACAGATCTATCTTCTATAAGTGAGAAGTGAATACTGAAAGTGTGATATAAACATTGTAATACTTCATGTATGCAATCCACAGAAACTGCAGTTTAAGTAATTAGTAATTAAGTTAATTCTGTGCCCAGTTAATTTGGATGCCAGATTTCTTCTGACTTACTGAGTAAAAAATAAAGCAAAACAGTTGTAGGCAAAAAATCATAGCATACAGTTCAAATTGCACAATTGTTAATGAATACGAATAAATCAGCTTTCTACTTCTATTTCTTGTGGCAAATGTGTTCATAGAGCTTTTGGAGATTCAAGATGATAAATGAAACTATTCTCTGATGATTTATTTTAAAATATAAAACACAGTATTTAAGTGTTTTCTATGAGAGAAACGTAATCTGTAATGACTACAAATGCTCATTGACATCAATGAAAGTGCAATTTACATCACATCACTTGAACCATCACTGTGAGAGAAGTGGTATCAAAACAGCAGTACTCACCACTGAAATGCAATTACTTTGGAGAAAGAAAGCAGCAGTTATATAGCAGTATGAAACAATTACAGAGAATACATTAAGACAGGAAATGAGAAAAGAATCTGGATCAGGCTGCAACTAGTAGAGAACCAAGGCAAAACCGCCCTAGAATCCCAGGTCCAAAAAGTTATTTGTGCAAACAGACATTGACTCTTAAATAGTTTCACCACAGTCAACTAAATTAACTAACAAGATTCTGCTTCAGGAAAGCATCTCATGTTTTAAAAAGTGTCCTGAATAGGGCAACACATAAACTACCTGAGAAGGTGTCAATATGAAAATATTAATATATGTATTTTTTTTTCTAAAGAGAGGTGCTTTCTTGAATAATAGACAAGCAGAGATTTGCAAGGGTGAGGATCAAAGACAGCATTTGGACAGCAGAAAGTTAAAAAATCCAGGAAACAAAAGAACATGCATCTTGTTTTAGACGAACACCCAGCCTCCTAACATGCAGTAAGTAGCATCTGCACCTTTCCCATGCCTGAATGAGCATGTCCAATCTTCACAACAACAGGAAAAGTCGGCATTGTTAGCTGAGAGGGAGAACAGAAAGGAGACGTTAGAGAAGTCAGCTGTGAGTTAAACGATTAAGCTGCAGCATTGATGAAAATGATTTTAACGGCTATAATGAGGGAAAATCTGCTTTTGGCATGTGGTTATTTGAATAGACATCCACAGACTGTTCTCATATTCCAGTCAACTGCAACTGTTAGTTCGTACTGAATTGGGATGTATCAAATATTGCTCTGTTTACATCATCTCAGCTGATCACAAAGTCACAAGTGGTATTGCTTATTTTCGGTTCTATTTCAACAAAACGAATCTACTGGAAGAAGTTTGAGGGGCAGTTCGAGGAAGAAGCCCTGTGAAGCAGTGATATACCAATAACGTATTTTTACAGTTAGCTCAGGATTCAGAGGAAAATCTTTGTCGTGAAAAATCGTAACAGTACTTGCTACTCTTTAGAGAGCTCTCAATCTGGACAAGCACTGAACAGTTCAGACTTCACTGTCAACTATTCTTCTGTTTCTTGGCAGTTTTAAGATTGAGGGTTACTTGCAGCAAAGCCATTCCTCCGTGTTGGATACATGACATGTTATACTTACAGTGCAAGTCTTTAAAGACCTCTCGCTCAGATTTTAGCACTCTGATTCTAGTGGGAATTTTTATTCTGCTCCAGTTTATACAGAAGGAAAAGAAAAAAGACCATCCAGCCAAGGCTGACAGTAAAGCTAAAGAAGATATGCTTAGTATTTCACTGACATTTCTGGTGCGCCTATCATGGATAGCTGGAACTTTTGACACCCATCACTGCATCACATTTGTAATTTCTTACATTAAGCATGGAAGCTTTTCTGTAGGCACAGCAGATGGCTGGCACTGCCTGACTTTCCAGTCCCCAGTCAGTTCAGTGCTGCACAACAAGACATGCCACTGGAATCAGTCTTACCTATTCCTTCCTCCTCCCTCATATTTCCTAAAAAAAAGTATATGGCTGTTTTAGAAAGAAAATGCATAATGGGCTTGTTTGCTTTCTTATATGCCTCTCCACTCCCTCCAAAATAGTATTGGTCCTGATAACAGAAAGCAGTCACAAACTGAAGGCTCTGCAAGAGAGGCTTGGGATTTCTCTTGTAATGCTGAACATCCTTTCCTGAGAAAGAATTTATAAATTCACTGGGGAAGTACTCATAAGAGAATACAGACATAGGAGAAGATTATTTCCTAATAATTCTTCTTGGAAAAATTATTTTTATCACTACATGACGCAGTTGCAGGTGAGATTTCAATTTGTGAGCATGAACAGAGAAAACTTCATGTATAATAAAGTAACAGACCAGAACTCCCCAAGTAATTCACCCAATAAAATACTTGTGCTCACATGCTTTGTTCTTCCAAGACTTATCATACTAAAAAACTTGTATTTATCTCTTGGGTGTTGTATGAAACAGGACAAAAGTAGCAAAGAAGAATTTACCTCAGAGAAAAATCAGAATAGGTAGAATAGTACTCTATGTAATCAGCAGCTTTTTACATGTGACAGTATTTACACAGTGTCAGTTCAGTGTTCTCAGCTATGCTGAAATGTGGAATGCAGGATGTAACCAAGCTGTACATCCAAGTAGACTTTGGGACACCATCACATTGTTTTACTACTGTGTACAGAGATGCAAGAAGCATTTTGGAAGTTGGTCTTTGAATGCAAACTACATGTAGATGTTTTCCATTCTTGCTTTTGCTTTTTCCAGAGCTGTCAGTTACTGACAATTACATAAATTTTCAATTGGCTTCAGAAAGCCAAAAGCACTTGTAAAAGCTTTATACAGTAAGGGCCGGACATACTGCAATTTCAAATGAAATTTCTTTGTAAACTGTAGGCATGCAAAGGCCCATGGAGTCAATCAGCATCTAGTTATTTACTGCTCCCACATTTTAAAAACAGCTATTTTGTATTTCTTTTTTAAATTTTGAAGAGGGAGGGAATAAATCATTGCCTGAATTCAGAAGGGCAGCAGCACATTCTTATGAGTGAACTATAAACCACGGACGCAGGGTTTGTAATGGAAATGCTGGCAGACATCTAAGTATAGCAGTACAAATGGCACTCCTGTAATTACGAAGACCATGCATTTTCCTGTGATTCCATAGCTGTGGAATCCTCTGAGGACCATAGGAACAAACACTAATTCAAGACAAAACCAAAAACAAAAAAACAAAAAAACCCAAAGCCAACTGTGCTTTCTCCCAGAGAAAATTGTGAAAATGTGCTAACATCATTTAAGGAATGACAATCCATTTCGCTCTGGAGGCCAGCACCAAGATTTCTGTGGTATACCACATCCCAGTTTAGACAAAGTGAAGAGGTTTTTGCAGCAGAAAAAGGTGCTGAGTATTGCATTTCAGATATCATACAGACAAAAACCAGGTAGCTTATATAAAGGGCAGTGAAATTAAGTCTTTCCAGTGCTTTTCTTCTATCACTTTGACAGGCCTGTGAACCTAGGGCTGATGAAGCTGCAGTTAATTTGCTTTTCTAGCAGTGTTTTCTTTAGTCCTGGCATTGCTTTAATTATCACAGTTCTCCCATTGAATAAGGAGACTGAGCCATCATGCAGCCACCTTGCTAAAACTATCTAGATTCCAGGATTGTGTGATATTGTACTATCAAGCAATAACTTGATCTGAGTCCTTTCCTCACCTCTTTCCAGTCTGTTCTTTCCTGTTATTTTGTCTTAACAGGCAGCCTCAAGACTTTTCATATATTTGGATAAACATTGTGTATGATACAGCTGTGCTACTGAACTGAAAGTGTACCAGCTCCATGGATTTCCTTCAAATTCCCATTACAGCTACTTGGTAGTAAGTTATCTTGTGAGAAGGTCTGGCAGGTGTGCAAGGATCAGTTTTGAGTTGAGTTGATACTAATACAAATCATTGCACGCATAATTTCAAATTTTTTTTGGGGGGGGAGAGCTGTTTGACAAAAGTATTGCTTATTTTTCAAAGGTTTTCTTAAATTTAGAATAGTGTAATTTCTACTATGACAAAAATAGAGGTAACAAATCAGAATAAAAAATCTGAAGATCGACAACAGAAATTGCATTGATGAATTTGACATGTTCTTATATATGAGAGATGGACTATACTGCATGAACCCTTGCATACTGCATAATAAATACAGGAAATCTATTTATTTTTTAGGATAAATGGGAGTTCTATTATAAATTAAATAATGATATCATACACAATATGTTATTGTGAATTAATGAAAAAAAAACCACATGACAAACATGCAATATAATTTTCCAAAGCTCCTTCAACATCTCTCATGGTCATAGACTCTACATTTTTTACTGGAATTACTAGTATTAGTTCGGAAAAAACTAAAAAAAAACTTTGGAAAAAACTTTGGAAGGGACCTTTTAGTCCACATAGTTTCAACTCCCCTGCTATAGGCAGGGACACCTCCCTCCAGACCAGGTTGCTCACAGCCCTGTCCAGCCTGGCCTTGAATGCTTCCAGGGAAGGGGCATCCACAGCCTCACTTGTGTCTCAACCTGTCTCGCAACCTCTTTGTGTCTCACCACCCTCACAATAAAGAATTGCTTTCTGATATCTACTCTAAGTCTACCCTCTTCCAGTTTAAAACCATTTCCCCTCATCCTGTCACTACATGCCCTGATAAAAAGTTTCTCCCCAATTAATTACATAGACACACTGACTATATTAATTTTCCCTAATACAGACAGGGGATATCAAAATTTATCTGTCAAAATACAGATATCAAAATAATTTCAATTGTAATCAACTATCTAGATTCATAATAGATAGATCTCTAGCAGAACTTGCACTGACAGAATTACCAAATTCAGGGAGAAATTGAACCCAATATTCTCAGATTGCTAAAGAAACACTAATTAAGGCAAGCATGCATTCACAACAAATAGAGCACAGAGCATGTTTCTCATGTCATCAAGTGTCTCAGGATCACATCATGACATTGCTTGGATTAACCAGCTTGAGATCACAAAGCACTTTGAGATGGCTGATGCTGTGGATTTTCACTCTTCCACTGCTGCAAGTTATTACATCAAACACGCCTTTTCTTTGTTTGCAGGATGGCTAGCAAACTGGCTTCAAAAACAAATTAGGTTAAAAGATTCATTAGTTACTGATCAGAACCTATTTTAAACTCTGAAAATCTATGAAATATCATAATGCTCTTCTGAAACGTCAATTTCTGATATGCTACATATATTATCTTTGTAAAAGATTTAGGATTGGGAGATTTAAAGAACAATGCAAAAAAGATTCTTGCAATTCTTACAATAGGTGCTATATCAGCTCCAAGCAGTTAATTAACAGAATTATAAAGCTCACGAACACTGATCTGATTAATGTTGTGTTGGTGAAGAACTGCGACATTTTTACACTCTCATGCTACATGTATATTCACTGAATTTTGAGTAAGGAAAAAAAAGTCATTATGCTCCTTACTAAGAAGTCCTCAGTCATTCTCTTCCTCTTGAATTCATCATTGTGATTTCTTTCAAACTGCATTTTTGCCCTGTGATTGCAGTTACAGGGCAGCAGCAGGAGAAAAAAAGTCTTGAACTTATCAACAAGAGTCATGTCCTTCCAGTGAACCTGACAAAATAAACTCAACTGGTGTTTTAAAAGGAAACAAAGCTTACACTGTAACTAGAGGCAGCCACAGCACTATTATTAGCCTGATGAGTGTACCTTCACTTTTTAGGATGTGTGCAGTGATCAGAGATTTGACATCCCTCTCTAACAATTTGTTTTTGCTTTGTGAACAAAACCCTAAAGCTCTCAGTCAAAAATCTTTTTTTTTTTTTTTTTAAGTCCCCTCAGTGGAATTTAAGCTGGTTGCTAAAGGTGACACAGTTTAAACATAATAAAATTGGAACTGTCTAATAAAAAACTGGCTTGGAAATTATGGAACTGTATACATAAACCATACGTAATGGGGATAATAACTATCCTTCCCTACTTCAGAAATATTCTGAAG